GAAGCAACCTAAGTGCCCATCAAGGGACGAATGGATAAAGAAGATGTGGTATATATACACAATGGAATACTACTCAGCCATAAGAAATGATGAAATCCGGTCATCTAAATGTTCTAAGGGAAACCCTTCTTCAGTGATGCTGACCAGGTTTATGTTTAAGAACTTTGGGCCCCCTATATGCGCATTTTTAACTAAGTGGGCCAAACAGACCAAAAGCAGTCCAGAATTGCAATGACTGTCATGGGGAACTTTTGATCTCTCCAAGCTAGCTTTTCTTAAAACCAAATGGTAAGGCTACGGCTCTAAAATTAAGGAAAATAAATAGTACGTTTATTTACATTGGCACCTGGAAGCTTTTGGATCCACACAAAGCTCTAAAATTGCCTCACCACAACATACCTTATCTAAATTACTTGAAACAATTGAAAAACTGAGGGAGAATAAAATGGCTTCAGAATCTTCATGTTCCCCTCCTCCTTCTTCTTTGTGTCAGACATCATCTTGTTTGTCTTCCCAGACTCCTTTGTCTCAGACCTCATCTCAGCAGCCATCTTGTGCCCATGCTCCACTCCAACACCATCTTCCTCTCTTTCCCTCTGTGAAAGCCTGCCCCCTTTAAAATCAGACCCTTGAGGGTTCAAATGCTTAGCCTGTAATTACTATTTCTAAGTTAACTGGAGCAAATAAACAACTAGAAGGAAAAATTTAGATAGCAGTTACCCTAGACTTTTGATAATAGACAAAATTACTCCAAAAACAGTGCTTAAAGGATCCTTACAGCATGCAAAGAAAAATAATCTTCAGTAAAAGACTTTGGCCACTGAACAAGTAACCTTACCTTAGTCCATCTGCCAGAAATACAATTTGGATCCAACTATTCTTTTGAGTTTTGTACCTGAGACATGTACATTTCATTTCACTTTAAAATGAAAGCTATGAGATCTCTGTTTATGTCTGCCTCTCTGTCTATGTATGTATGTTATGGAGATGTGATATTTTTCTACCTCCAGATGGTATGGCTAGAATTGATTTGTTAAAAAGTTCTACTTAATTGGCTTGAAATTAAGCACTTATGAATTAAGTATTCTTAAATCTCAGAAGTATAATAGAAACTAATTTAAGTGCTTTCAGGTTCATAGGGTCTAGAATAAGTCTTTAGTAAATAAAAGCTAGCTTAAGCTTGTTAGTGAAAAAAAAAACAGGCACAACATCAGAGGTGTTAGTCCTGGGTGAGAAGCAAACGTGCAACTTTTCCCCTTGCCAGGGTTTATTAGTCAAGTGGGCTTGTGCTGTCTCTTTTACAAAATATGTCAGCAAGAAAGTAACTTAAGATAGTGGTTGGCTATTTAATGTCTAATCCAAGCATGATTGTTAAAAGCAAGTGATTAAAATAAATATAAATAAGATCAAAGTTTTTACTAAGTTAAGCTAAATAATAGATAGTCACTGAATAGCTAAATCATTTTCTAAACAAGATAAAATACTCAAGTGTTAATTACTGAACATAGGTTTATCTACCTTTGGCTTCCTATTGCAAAGAAACTAAACACGAATTTGGGTCTGTCTTGTGCCACATTGAAATATTACACTATTCAAAAAGGCATATTCCTAGAAAATTTAAAACATATTTATAAATCTGCCAGTCCACAATTGCTTACTTTTTAGTTTTTACTAGGAATTGGGAATTCTAAGGGTTAATAATTCTAATATATGTAACTTAAACTTCTAGGGGGAAAAAAAGGAAAATATCTCTGTATACAAGGAAAGTAGAATGTGTGTTTTAGTAAAAGAAGGTATAAGAAGTGGAAATGCATTTTGTTGAGGAAAAAGAAAATGATTTTGTCATAAAGAGAAGTTGGTCATTTCAGAATGGGAAAAAGAAAAACATAGGACAAATCTGAATGTAAAAAGAAAATTGTATATGGTTTACGGAAAAGAATCTCAGGAAAAGAAATTTATGAGTGGTCACGATTGGCTAAGACAGGAATGAATAAATTTTAACATCAAAATAAGCTGATACTAAATTAAAATTTGGCTTTCTTTTATGTCAAGAAGACAAAGTTTTCTTGGGCTATTGGTCTGCTCTTAATAACAGATTGTGAAAGCTGCCTTACCTTTAAACAATATGCCTAGAAAACAGATTTTTTGTTTTGTCAAAATAATTTCCTCTGTTGTTTCTATCAGCTCTTTAATTACTTAAGAAAACTGAGTCTTCTTAATATTGAAGGAGTTAAATTTTGCTC